GCCTTAGCCGGTTGAGGTATAGGCGCTGAGCCCCTGCAACTCTTTAATACAGTTCTTCATGTTGTAGTGACAATTTTATGGTGCCCCCAACCATAAAATTATTTTCGTTGCTACTTCATAACTGTAATTTTGCTACTGTTATGAATTGTAATGTAAATATCTGATATGGAGGATGTATTTTCATTGTAACAAAGGGGTCGCGACCCCGCAGGTTGAGAACTGCTGGCTTAAGCGATTCTCTTACCTCAGCCTCCCAAGTAGCTGGGACTACAGGCACCCACCACAATGCCTGGCTGCTTTTTGTTGTAGCTGTCATTGTTTTAGCTGGCCCAGGCCGGGTTTGAAACCGCCAGCCTTGGTATATGTGGCTGTCACCGTAACCACTGTGCTATGGGCACCAAGCCATCAATAAATATTTTAAATAATTTCAGAGTGCATGCTATAGAATGAATTTCTGGGTCTCCTGAGATAATTGAGTAGAAGATTAGACTAGGTAATCAGCAAGGGTTCCTGTCACAAGAGTCTGTGGTTCTGTAGTTATGAATAAAAGTTCATCATCCATCAACCATCCAAAAGCCAAATGGTTAATAATTTCTAAATTTAGAAGTAGCTTACCTCATATTCAATGTTATGAGTTCCATTCTATTCATTCATTTACTCATTCATTTAAATAACTTTTTTTTTTTTTTTTTGAGACAGAGTCTCACTTTGTAGCCCGTGGTAGAGTACTGTGGTGTTACAGCTCACAGCAACCTCCAACTCTTGGGCTTAAGCGATTCACTTGCCTCAGCTTTCCAAGTAGCTGGGACTATAGCACCTGCCACAACCTGCCCCAGCCTCCCAAGTAGCTGGGACTATAGACGCCCGCCATAACGCCCAACTATTTTTTTGTTGCAGTTTGGCCGGGGCCGGGTTTGAACCTGCCATCCTCAGTATATGGGGCTGGCACCCTACTAAGCCACAGGTGCTACCTTTTGTTTCCTTCTTGTCATGCAAATGAAGGCAATGCTGGTCACTTCAGATGGGAACAAAGGAAACAGCCTTCCACATTATTTCCTAGTTTCTATTAGGGCATTTCTGGTTTCTTCTTATTTCTTCTCTGTGTTAATGCTTTCATTGGTGTAATCCATTAATTCCTTCATCAGCTGTTTATTGAGCACCTACTATCCAGACACTGTTCTAGGTACCAGGATTATAGTTGTGAATGAGACAGATGCGGTCTCTGCTCTGGTGATGCTTATAACCTTTTGGGGTGGGACAGGTAGAGGAGACAATAACCAGTTAAAACCCCAGATTCACGTGGTGATAAGAGTTATGAAGAAAGTAAAACAGGTTGCTGCAATAAAATTCATGTGGGGGGGGGAGAAGCAGCTAAATCAGAATCAGTGATCAGGTAAGGCCTCTGAGGATGTGACATTTTGAGCCGGTTACTAAGTATAATTTTGAGCCATTCATATTCTGGGGTAAAAGAAGTCTAGGCAGAGAAAACAGAAAATTAAAAAGACTCTTAGAGGAAAGGAGCTTGGCCAAGCTGGCTAGACGCAGCAAGTTAAGGGCCATATGGAAACCAAGCTAAGGAGTTTGCATTTTATTCTGAGTGCTGTGAGATGTTGCTGGAGGGTTAATGCAGGTGTTCCTGGTGAATCTTAATAAAGGGCCAAGCAAACCACAGTTGTAATTCCTGCCCTACTGAAATAATACTGAGATCAAGGATGCTGGGAGACATATTCGATAGCTCTGGATCTTGGAAAGTTCTGGAAAAGAGCTCTATGCTTAGAGAACTGACCCCCCCAATCACAAAGAATAAAGAAAAAAGTCATCCATATTTCTATCATCCAGAAATAACCACCACTAAATAATGATATATTTCCTTCTAGTCTGTTACTGTTACATAACAGAAAGCATGCTGTAAAAACTTTGTATGCTCAGTGTTATATCATATGTCATTTTCTTTTGTCTTAAAAGATGATTGAATTTTATTGTGTAATTATGCCATAATTTATTTAGTAATTATGGTTGGACTTCCAGATATACTTTTTAAAAATGTTTGGATATGGCTAGGCGCCTATAGCTCAACCGGC